TTATGTTATTTGGTCTGCAGGTTCATTTAAAACTTTGAACTTGATTTTCTCGGTTCGGGAAAACATGGAGATAGAACAAAATATTTTTAACCTCGCCATATTACTTATATAAATTTTGGACAGAGTAAGAAAATGAAGTTGGCAGGCTTACCTAATCTTTTTTTATTCAATCTTTTTCTCTTAACGTATTAATATATATAAAAAAGAATTCAATATTTTAATAAAACATTTTTAGATGTAAAAAAAAGTTTTAAAAATCTATGCTGATTTCTTCCTAAAACTGCAATAAAAATGCGGTTATTGCAGAAGTTACTTAACAAAAAACCTTGCGTTACCCAGCAAAAGAAAAGCAAATATTTAAAAATAAAAATCAATTAAGTTATAGAATAATTTATAAAACATTTTAGGTGTACATGTGTACAAATAATCAATATAAAACAAAAATCTCAAAGATATAAAAGAAGGTTTGACTTTTTTTTTTTAAAACTGTTTACTTTACTATATATGTTAAAAAATATTTTAAAATCATAATAATGTTAAAAAAAAACTTACTTTACTAATGTTTAATCTTTAACATTGCGTAAAAAACGTTTCAAAAATGATTAAACTTGAAATAACAATAATAAAGACGACAATTTGAAAATAAATTTTAAAGCATTACGTCAATAATCTCAATGGACTTTTTTTAAAAGAGAAAGTAACTGCTGCATAAACTATAATAACACATATAGGAGAAAAGAGGAGAGTTAAATCTTTATATGAAACTAAAAATTTATTACATTTTTTTTATTAAAGATATAAGACGCTCTAGTTCTCTCCATTACAAAAAATGTGTTTGCAGCATAACTATTTGTATTCCATGATGTTACACATTCTAAAACAAAAATACTACCTTTACATGTCCGCTAAAATATAAATTTAATTCCTAATGTTTTTTATTTCATTTTGTTTTTTCTAGCATCAAAATCTCATTATCTTCATTACCTGTCTTCCTTTTTATTTAGAACAGTTTAACTGTGGACGAGAGTGGCTGCCAGATTAAGTTGTTCTTCGGGTCTGACATTTTTTATCAATAGTTAAATATACATTAATAAACACCATTTATGGTGTTTAGAAGTTTTAGGGAAGTAAGCAAAGTAAAAAATTTTTGTTTCAAAATTATGATTTTAAATCATAAAAGTGTTTATAAATCTTATACGAAAACCGTCGAAAATCTGCAAAACTGATAAGTTGTGTAAATAATTGAGGGCTGTTTATATTACAAGTGTTCAACTTGTCTAATACAGTTTGGTAAAGTCATCAAAAAATCAAAAGAGTTCACCTGCAACTAAAACTATGATAAAATCTTATGTGTGGAACCAGTAGAGTTTAGAGGTAACCAACTATCATAAAGTTGTAAAATAGTATAACCAATAAAATCAAAATGTCTACTATAAAGTTTAATATTTCGGTTAATCTATGTTTTTTTTTAGTTTTTAGTTTTATTTTTTATAATTACTTTTAATAAATACTTCTGTTTTATTGACATACATGCGTTTTTTTAACTAAAATATTAAATTAAGAAAACTAAATATTTAATTTTAACATTTATATATTCCTAAAAAAAAGTTACAGTTCTCTCAATGATTTTTTGAATTTATTAAATGATACGTTTGTATTTATTTTCAAATATTTATTGATAAACGTATATTTATAGTATAAGTATAAATGAAGATTGATACATGTAAGTATAATGTATATGTAGGAACATGTAGTGTGTATGTACATTACACAAATATACGTATAAAATATACTTTTTTTAAAATAAAGTTTTTTAATGTCATACCTAACTGATTTTTAGTGTCATACCTAACTAAACATTTAAGTAAGATAAGATTGCATACGATGATTAAACTAAACCTAACGGCTTATTAAGTATCTGTAAATTCAAGATGTATAATTGAAATGAAATAATATTGCATTACATCTTAAATGCGCAAATTTTAGTATTTTGAAAAAATAGTCATGGTATATAAAGAAAAGTTGTTTATATTGTGAGAGATCCTGCACTATAAAGTCTGGTAAGAAAAGAACTCTTAGCTCGATAGATAAATACTGCAGCAACTTTTTCCTAAACGGAAGGTAGTAAAAGATTCACACTTTAAAAATGTTATTTACCTAAGACTTCAATTCAAACAGGGCAACCTTTAAACTCAGTTAAATACTTTTTTTTGTTTCAAAGCTCTGATGTATGCTATGCTTATATATATATATATATATATATATATATATATATATATATATATATATATATATATATATATATATATATATATATATATATATATATATATATATATATATTTATATATGTATATATATGAAACTTTATTTTAGTGAACTTTATACATTTGCATATGTAGTTTTTGTTTATTGTCATATTATGTTAATATATATGCTATCTAAAAAATCATAATTATTTGCATTTAAAAATAACTTTCAAAAATTCAATGGTTTAATGAGTTGCCAATGGTGTTGTTTCGAGAGGGTTTAAGTCCGTCCCAAAACATGTTGTATATTTTTATTTTTTTTCAATCTGGCCGTATATATTCAAAGCAAAATAAATAATTATAGCAAAAAAATATTTATTTTATTATAGCATATTATTAAATAACTCATATAAAAAAAAAATTAAAAAAAATTAAAGTATCAGAATTTAAGTTACATCAATATACCTTACATCCGCTTCAAGATAACCTCTCCGGTCACAAAGACTTGTTAAGTGACTCATATTTTAAAACAATTTAATAAGTAAAAGAATCTATAATACGGCAAATATGCTTTGTAAAGATATAATACATTATAACAAACGAAACAGAGGAAAAAACTCTTTCAGTTTCGTTTGTTATAATGTATTATATCATTACATATGTTGTGTTTATAGTATCTATTAAACTTCAAAAGTGTTTTCATATGCATATAGGAAAACTGAAAAAAGATTTTTTTTTATTTAATAAAAAAAAAATCTCTATTAATGGAGTTTAAGCACGGATCTTTGCATTAGAAACTCTGAGAGTCAACCTTTTCTGCCACTAAAGTGTTTTGATTGGGTTAATTTTTAACGCTATTGAATCAATAAAAAAAACTTTAAAAACAATTATTAAATTCCATAAATCAAACTTTAGGATATAATTTAAAGTTTAAAATCGATATTTGCACAGCCTTTTATTCACACTTTTTTATATAAAAAAAGTGCTGCGACTCTTTTAAGCCATTACCTCGATTATATTGGCTGTCAAATGTTTTGTGTCTAATACGCTTGAAAAAATATTTCTGTTAATCGCAACAATACTATACTGAGATACTATAAAGGACTGTTAAATTCTTGTAAATTTAAATTTGCACAAAATATCAGTGTTACAAAATAAACACATATATTTGTTGATTTTTAGTTTGTGATGTGTTACCCAAAAATCGGAGTAAATGAACAAAAGTTTAAGATCAGGGAATTCTAGTATACAAAAGGTTGACAATATCCATAGTCAATCAGAGCACTCGCTCCTGTTGAAATATTAAGTCCCCTCGGTTTAATTAGAACAGTTCAAGCTTTTTTTAAAAAAAAAATTCTGTCTACCAAAAGAAAAAAATTAGATTTCAAACATTTTTTAGCTATTGAAGGCTTTTTTTATTTTTAAGCTTGTTCCCTATATCTAGATAAAGTATCTAGCATTCAGATCATGTAAACTACATAAAATCATATTATAATGTTTTCTCAAAAGCATGAGTTAACAATCTACGATCGTAGCCATGACAGAAATGCAAAAGTTTTTTGCTTTGAATCAGGGTGCTCAATTTTCAAATGATAAAGGCGATGTCCTTCAAATGTTATTCATGTCTGTTCAAATATATGCCTGCATTAAATATTACATTTTATAAGAGTATTTGAAAATAATTAATTTTATTGTCAAAATATATATATATATATTTTATATGTTATTTGATAAATGGGCTTCTTACTAAAATATTACATTTTAAGGGACTATCCAGAGATGCTGGTTAACTAATTATTCTTTAAGATATATTTTTGTTGTGCAATATATTTAAGATGTTATGCTATTACACCTTATAACTAAAGTTAAATTTTGTTGTGAAGATCATGGTACATACTTTAAATAATAAATTACTTATCTTGAATTAAATTTTAGACAAAACAGCTTGTTTATATTTTTTCTTCACTAGTGTAAAATAAGATTTTTTTTCTGATAAGACAGATATGTACCTTACAGTACTTTAATTACCAAAATATACAATCATCTTGCCACAATATATATAAAAAATACTACTTTGTGTTATATCTTTTAACAAAAAATGGAAATGAAATAAAATAACACTGTAACTTATAAAATAAGTGTATATTACATTTTAGTACCTCTAGGTAGTACAATGTAATACACACTTTTTTGCAGATAATCATGGTGTAGTGATTCAGACACCTGCACTTTAAATATTTTAATACAATTTCTTTAAAACTGTGGTAGCCTGTATAAGAATTTAATACAAATTGGCTTTTTTTGCGTTTTTTATGTTATTTTGTCTGCAGGCTCATTTAAAACTTTGAACTTGATTTTCTCGGCTCGGGAAAACATGGAGATAGAACAAAATATTTCTAATCTCGCCATATTACTTACATAAATTTTCGGCAGAGCAAGAAGAAGAAGTTGGCAGGCTTACCTAATCTTTTTTCCAGTCAATTTTTTTCTCTTAACGTATTAATATATATATAAATCAATTTAATATTTTATTAAAAAAATTTTAGATGTAAAAAAAAGTTTTAAAAATCTATACTGAATTTCTGCCTAAAACTGTGATAAAAATGCGGTTATTGCAGAAGTTACTTAACAAAAAACCTTGCGTTACCCAGCAAGTTAAGAGCAAATATTTAAAAATAAAAATCAATTATGTTAGAATAATTAGAATAGAAACTAAATTAAAATTAGAATAGAAACTAAATTAAAATTTACCTTTTACAAGATCAAATTCTTCGAAATCTTATTAATTCAATTCCATTCCCCTTAATAGCTAAGCTAAAAATTACTACTAATTAAAATAATTAGAAAAATAGAATAATTTATAAAACTGTTTTCGAAAAATTAATATATTTCAAATATTCAGTTTAAATTTAATCAAACATTTTAAGTGTACATGTGCATAAATAATCAATATAAAAAACAAAAATCTCACAGGTATAACAGAAGGTTTGACTTTCTTCTTTTAATACTGTTTATGTTACTATATATGTAAGATAATACTTTTGAAATCATTACAATTTTGTTAAAAAACTTACTTAACTAATATCTAATCTTTAACATTGCGTAAAAAACGTTTCAAAAATGATTAAACTTGAAATAACAATATTAAAGACGACAATTTGAAAATAAATTTTAAAGCATTACGTCAATAATCTCAACGGACTTTTTTTAAAAGTGAAAGTAATGGCTGATTAAACTTTAATAACATAGAAAGGAGAAAGGAGGAGAGTTAAATCTTTATTTGAAAATAAAAGTTTATTACATTTTTTTTATTAAAGATATAAGAAGCTCTAATCCTCTTCATTATAAAAAATGTGTTTGCAGTATAACTATCTGTATTCCATGATGTTACACATTCTAGAACAAAAATACTACTTTCACATTTTCCGCTAAATCATAAATTTTTTTATTTTATTTTTTAAACATCAAAAAATCATAATTTTCATTACCTGTCTTCCTTTTTATCTAGAACTGTTTAACTGTGGACAAGAGTGGCTGCCAGATTAAGTTGTTTTTCGGGTCTGACATTTTTTATCAATAGTTAAATATACATTAATAAACACCATTTATGGTGTTTAGAAGTTTTAGGGAAGTAAGCAAAGTAAAAAAATTTTTGTTTCAAAATTATGATTTTAAATCATAAAAGTGTTTATAAATCTTATACGAAAACCGTCGAAAATCTGCAAAACTGATAAGTTGTGTAAATAATTGAGGGCTGTTTATATTACGAGTGTTCAACTTGTCTAACACAGTTTGGTAAAGTCATCTAAAAATCAAAAGAGTTCACCTGCAACTGAAACAATGATTAAATCTTATGTGTGGAACCAGTAGAATTTAGAGGTAACCAACTATCATAAAGGTATAAAATAGTATGACCAATAAAATCAAAATGTCTACTATAAAGTTTAATATTTCGGTTAATCTATGTTTTTTAAAATATTTCCCATAAACTGTAGTTTTAAAGAGCGCGTTAATAAACAAGACCAGAAAAAGTTTTAAAAATTAAATTTTTTTTTTAATTGATAGACTGCATGGCCAAACCAAACCCTCAGTCGATGTAGCAGCACACTCTTGCGAGTCAGGCTATTTGTCAGTCGTTGTAGCAGCACTCTCTTGCGAGTCAGGCTATTTGTCAGTCGATGTAGCAGCATTCCCTTGCGAGTCAAGATATTTGTCAGTCGATGTAGCAGCACTCTGTTGCGAGTCAGGCTATTTGTCAGTCGATGTAGCAGCACTCCGTTGCGAGTCAGGCTATTTGTCAGTCGATGTAGCAGCACTCCGTTGCGAGTCAGGCTATAAGATAGTCGATGTAGTAACATTTACGCATGTTTAAAAAATGTTTTTTATTAAATCAATAACAAAAACACCACTAATTAAAAAAAACTTTCTAGTCGTTATAATTGCGGTTTTTTAAAAATTTTTTAAAAAACAATTAAATTTAATGTACTTCCGCATAAATTAATTGCTTTGACATTTCGATGACAATCAAAAACAGCAAAAAAAGAGACGAGGTAATTAAAATTGTAGTCGTAAGAGACTTTTTTTACATTAAAACGTTCTTAAAGCTACACTATATGGGTATATATATATATATATATATATATATATATATATATATATATATATATATATATATATATATATATATATATATATATATATATATATATATATATATATATATATATAACATATATATAAATGTGATTTGTTTAGAATTAGTTGCTTGTTTAACTAACATCTCTTTTTCTTTAATTGACTTGGAAACCTCTTCTAATATATATTGTATGAAATCCTTGATTAAAGTTAATTTATTTAAATTAAAAAAGTCAATATGAGAAATTTTTGCGTTTAAAAATACATAAACAGGGCGTATGTGATATTTTTGAGTCCATGAAGAATGTTCGATGTGTTTATTTAGCAAAATAATCATCATTGTTTTTTATCATATATTGGCTTTTTCGGCGAAAACACGTTCGTTTTTTTCAAACATAGAGAGAATATAAGTAAACTTTTTTGTTCCATAACTTTCAATAATTTCTTTTTCTGATTTTGATAATGTTTATGTATACGTTTTTGTTTAGATTTTCTGTAAAGTGTTGCAACATTGAAAGCAAAGTTAGATAAAGATTATCAATAACTATAATAACATCTGTGACATGACAGTCCGCGACTGAAACGTCCCAAGTAGCAAACAATATTAGCGCAATATTGGCACGATATTGTCTACAATATTGGCGCAATATTGTAAACTATATCGCACCAATATTAAAACGTGAACATTTTGCTAATAATGGCCGATATTGGCGGTACAACATTATGCCGATATTGTTAAGTCAATATTGGCCAATATTGGCAGTACAATATTGCGCTAATATTGTACCGTCGATTTTGGCCAATATTGGCAAAACGTTCACATTGCAATAATGGCGCGATAATGTTTACAACATCGCGCCAATATTGTAAATAATATTGCGCCAATATTGGTGATATAATACTGTTCAATATTAGCGGAATATAGTTTACAATATCAAGTCAATATTGTAAACTTTATTAAGCTAATATTGAGTGTTTTCGGTTAAAGTTTTATTATTAAAAATTAATAAGAGAGAAAATTGTTATTTATAAATTTTTAATAATTAAATTTTACAACAGTTTTCTTGTTTAAATAATACTATAGCAACAGGCTTCATTATTTTTTGAGTTAAACAGGTTAGAATCTAAGAGACAGTGATCATGGAACACTGATCATGTAAGATTTTTTTTGAATTATTATATTATATAATTATATACACATATGTATATAAATAAAAATATATCAACTTAAGTAACTGTTGAATATATTAATAAATCTGACAGTTTATATATTTTGAATTTAAAATTGAAAACATCTTAAATTTAATGTTTTATTTAGTTAGAAAAACTGTTTTTGATAGTAAACTTTTTTCAACCGTTGATGAACTATTTTCTTCAATTCGAAATTGCTTTTTTCGAGGCGCCGTTTTCGCCCTCCATCTCGATCGCTTGATTGTACTAAAAACCTACCAATACGCACTAGAGTCCAGATATTTTCTTCTTACTGCAGCTACAAAAAGGAAATAAAGTTATTAATACAAGCACTAAAACCTAAATCATATTTAAACTATACGAGTATATATTGATTAAATAACTCTTAGTGTGTGTGTGTGTGTGTGTGTGTGTGTGTGTGTGTGTGTGTGTGTGTGTGTGTGTGTGTGTGTGTGTGTGTCTATATATATATATATATATATATATATATATATATATATATATATATATATATATATATATATATATATATATATATATATATATATATATATATATATATATATATATATGTATATATATATATATATATATATATATATATATATATATATATATATATATATATATATATATATATATATATATATATATATATATATATATATGTATATATATATATATATGTGTGTATATATATATATATAATATACATATATATATATATATATATATATATATATATATATATATATATATATATATATATATATATATATATATACAGTAGCTTTCATAAATTTAGACGCATTCATTTTTTTTTTCATATATGTAAAAAAATACTCAAAATAAAAATAAAATAAAAGTGCTACCGCTATGTTTGATATATAATTTAAAAGAGGAAATGAAACTCTATTATAGAGTACTTTAATTTTTTTTACAGGATGTTTATTATTTTATACCGATTAACACAAAAAAGTTAATTGATAAACTTGATTTTATTTTGTTCATAAATTTAGACGCACAATTAAAAAATTCTTATATCTTGTTAATTGATAGTTAATTAGTAGTTTTTTTCTTATATTTCTCATTAATAGGCCTAAATTAATTGATTTTGTCAAAAAACCTTATATAAATATGACTTACCTGGAATTATTTAATCATTATTTAATAAATAAACAAAAGTTAAGTTAGTTTTGCACTAAAAAAACGTAATAAATGGGCAAAAGACGTATCACTCAAGGTGAAAGATGGCAAATTATTGCGCACATCAAAGAAGGAACCAAAAGTAATAGAGAAATCGCCAAGTTAATTGGAGTTTCTGAGAAATGCGTTCGAACAACGAAACAAAACATTCTTCACACTTGTGGTGCAAGCGAGAAAACGAGGCCAGGTAGACCCTTGTCAACCACGAGAAAGGACGATAGTGTTCTTTTTAGAGCTGTCAGAGCTAATCCAAGAATTAGTTACAAAGAATTGACCACAGAATTCAATACAACGCGAAATACATCTATTTCTCAAAACACAGTCCGCCGAATACTTATCAAATACAAGATTGGAGTCTACACTGCTTTGAAGAAACCGCTTCTGCGTCCATATGATAAACAAAGGAGACTAAAATGGTGTCGTGAAAGAAGGTATTGGACAATAGATCAATGGGAAAACATTATGTGGAGTGATGAGAGTAACTTTGAGCTTATCAATCGCAAATCTAACATAACAGTCAAAAGAATGGGTCACCAAAAGTATTACGCCAGGTACATTAGACCAACTGTACAAAGTGAAGGAGGCTCGATAGGAATCTGGTCATGCTTCAATTAGAAAGGTGTTGGTATGTGCCAAACATACACCGGAAGAATCAACTCCAGAATATACGTAGAAGTACTGGAAAACAACCTAATTCCATTAATTGACCTGCTTATGCTCAATGATAAACCATGAAAACTTTAACAAGATAGCGCTACTGCACATACTGCATACTATACAAAGGAGTGGTTCAACGATAATAGTATTATGACAATACCGTGGCCTCCATATTCACCTGATTTGAACCCGATTGAAAACATTTGGGCTTGGATTGATCGTAAATTAGCAAAGGTTCAAATCTCCACATTTGGTCAGCTGAAGGAATTCCTTAAGAAGACCTGGTATGGGGTCCCAGAAGCGATGTGCAAAAATCTTGTTGAGTCTATGCCTAGAAGAGTTCTTAGTTGTATTAAAGCAAAAGGCGGATACACAAAATAATGATTGGTTCATAAATTACGCCTTCTAATAAATAGTGCGTCTGAATTTATGAATAATTTTTTTTGTCTAATTTTTTTAATACCATGTAGTTGTACCTAATTATTACTTAGTATTTCATTTTTTTTGTAAATTTTTTTTAAATTTTGTATTCTGTATGTATTTATCTGATAAATAGAAACTAAACCGAAATCTTTTTTCGTCATTGTTTTATCGTTAAAATACCTAAAATTTTCTATTCTCAAATATGAGTGCGTCTAAATTTATGAATAATTTTTTTTGTCTAGTTTTTTTAATACCATGTAGTTGTACCTAATTATTACTTAGTATTTCATTTTTGTAAACTTTTTTGTAAACTTTTTTTAAATTTTGTATTCTGTATGTATTTATCTGATAAATAGAAACTAAACCGAAATCTTTTTTCGTAAAACTTATTTTGTAAACTTTTTTTAAATTTTGTATTCTGTATGTATTTATCTGATAAATAGAAACTAAACCGAAATCTTTTTTGTAAACATTTTTTAAATTTTGTATTCTGTATGTATTTATCTGATAAATAGAAACTAAACCGAAATCTTTTTTCGTCATTGTTTTATCGTTAAAATACCTAAAATTTTCTATTCTCAAATATGAGTGCGTCTAAATTTATGAATAATTTTTTTTGTCTAGTTTTTTTAATACCATGTAGTTGTACCTAATTATTACTTAGTATTTCATTTTTGTAAACTTTTTTGTAAACTTTTTTTAAATTTTGTATTCTGTATGTATTTATCTGATAAATAGAAACTAAACCGAAATCTTTTTTCGTAAAACTTATTTTGTAAACTTTTTTTAAATTTTGTATTCTGTATGTATTTATCTGATAAATAGAAACTAAACCGAAATCTTTTTTGTAAACATTTTTTAAATTTTGTATTCTGTATGTATTTATCTGATAAATAGAAACTAAACCGAAATCTTTTTTCGTCATTGTTTTATCGTTAAAATACCTAAAATTTTCTATTCTCAAATATGAGTGCGTCTAAATTTATGAAAACCACTGTATATATATATATATATATATATATATATATATATATATATATATATATATATATATATATATATATATATATATATATATATATATATATATATATATATATATATATATACTCATATATATATATATATGTATATATATAAACTTTTTGTAAACTTTTTTTAAATTTTGTATTCTGTATGTACTTATCTGATAAATAGAAACTAAACCGAAATCTTTTTTTGTCATTGTTTTATCGTTAAAATACCTAAAATTTTCTATTCTCAAATATATATATATATATATATATATTTATATGTATATAAATATATATATATATATATATTTATATACATATATATATATATATATATATATATATATATATATATATATATATATATATATATATATATATATATTTAAACAATTTAAAATGTATTCTACAAAAAAAAAGGGTGCTCAATGTTCCTAAAAGAACAGAGCAATTACAAATTAGTAGATAATCACTTAGCAAAATTTTTTCTTATTATTACTGTGTTAAATGAGAAAACATTTTGCTAAGTGACTTTCTACTAATTTATATATATGTATATATATATATATATATATATATATATATATATATATATATATATATATATATATATATATATATATATATATATATATATATATATATATATATATATATATATATAGACACACACACTAAAAATTATTTATTCAATATATACTCGTATATATATACACTTTTTGTTTGCGTAAAGTTTGTTATTATTTGTGCAAATTATTTTTATTGTTGTTTCCTGTTTTTCTATTTTACCAAATTTTCTACACCTTTTTGTTTTGTTGTTTTTGTGTTTCATCTTGTTGTTTTTGAGTAGTTTTTTTTCATTTGTGTAAAGTTCGTTTTTTTTTTGTTCTGTTTTGCTTATTATTTTTATTTTATTTTGCTGATGTTATTGAGTGTTTTCATATTTTTTGTCTTGTTATTTAACTTAATGTTGTTTATCGTTATAGTTGTTTATCGTATCGCTTTATCGTTGTTATTATAATTTTATTTATTTTCTAAGCGATTTTCGGTTCATATTTATTAATTTTATTATTATTTTATTATTATGCTAATTGTTATAATTATTTCATGTCACTCATTTTGATTATGAATGACACTCGTGTCATCATATTATTTGTATTATTATAGATAATATTATTATTTTCTTTTCTTTTTCCATTCAACCATATCAATAAATTTTACAATTTTTATCGTAAATTATTATAAAATGGTTAGGTGTCACTCATATAGTTACAAACTAGTCAATAGAGTGACACCTAAAAAACATAAAAATTTCACGAAAAAATAAATAAATAGAAAAAACAAAATAAAAAAAAAATGAAAAACTCGACATCTGTATATATAAATAAGAGAGAAAAGAAGAAAAGATTGTTAAACAAATAATAATGGTATATGTAATAATAATAGTAATAATACGAAATAATAACAATAATAATAAAGTACCAATAATATTAAGACCATTATAATACAATATAAACTGTATGTTCAAAATGTAGAGGATAATTAGATTTAATAATAACATAAAATGTAACATTATTAACAAAATAATAAATAAATATAATATTGGTAAAGAATAAATAAAATAAAAATCAAACTTGTTCGTTAAAGAGATTATATATTGAAGACAACTACAGTACAGAGAGAAATTATAAAGAAATGCACTATAACAATATATTTTTTAATTGAATTCTGTTGAGCAGTAAAAAGTTCGTAACAAGTGTATATTTTTTCTTACACTTTTTTATTAATGCAGGAATACACTGGTTCCATTGAGAAATACATTGTTGTTTTATGAAAAAATTACCATATTTGATTGTGTTGAAAAAAGAATAGTATAGCTTATTATTTTCTGTAATCCTGGTGTGATGATTATGAACTTCGTTTGTTTTAATAAAAAAATTTGAAAAAGGGCTTGGTAGTTTATTTTGGAGAAAGTCAAACACAAAAATACAATTAATAAAACTTTACAAGATTATGGAGTTTAAGGATTTTTAGTTCAGAAAATTTTTTTTAGATATCAGATCTCATTGGGGAAAACGTCATTATTCTAATAGATGCGCGTTGTAAACTAGCAATATTATTAAGTAAAAAGTTTCTTTTTTGACCGCAAACTATACAACAATAGCAAAGGTGAGAAGAGAATAAAGAAAAATAAATCATTCGAAGAGTTTGGATAGGAACATAGTAACGAATTAGAGAAAGCATACTGTTAGCTCGTGTAAGTTTTTTTTTTAGATGATACAGTTGATTATACCAAGATACATTTTCATCAAGATATATTTCAATATACTTTATATATTTTGATGGAAAAAGTTTTTTACCATAAATTTTAATTTTAATATGATCAATAGTTTTTTGAGGGGAATGAAAAATAATGTATTCAGTTTTATTGACATTCAAACCAGTTACATAAGCGATGAAGATCTTGACTAATTTTTTTACAAAGAGTCGTGGGGAACTTGTTCATATATAAAAGATTGGTATCGTCAGCATAATGATGTATCATAATTTTTTAATGAACAAGATAAATCATTTATATATAATAAGAACAACAACGGTCCAAGAACGGAACCTTGTGGAACGCCATGCTTAATAACTTTATGTTTGGATTCAAATTCATTAATTAAAACAAACTGAGTGCGATCCATAATATATGAAGAAAAACAATGATTAGCAATACCACGTATTCCGTAGTAGTTTAACTTTTTTATTAGAATGTTGTGATCAACTGTATTAAAAGCTTTTTGAACATCTATGAATACACCACAAGCAAAAGAACCATTGTCAATTGCACCACGAATCATTTCAGTAATGCTAATAAGAGCGTGAGAATTGGAGTGATTTGAGCGAAACCCAAGTTGTCGAATATGAAAACAAGCAGAATTATTTAAAAAGTTGTAAATACGAGAATACATAAGTTTTTCTAAAAGTTTGCTGACATTTGATAATAATGAAATTCGTCTTTAGTTATTACGTTCAAGTTTTGAGTCTTTTTTATGAATTGGGATAACAGAAGCAGTTTTTAAAATACCAGGGATTACACCGGTTGTGAATGACAGATTAAATAGTTCAGAAAGTACAGGAGAGATATCATTTGCAAGAGCTTTAAAAATAGGTATTGGAATGCTGTTAGGTCCCGAAGCCTTGCTGTCATTAAGAGAATGAAAAATCGATAATACTTCGTTTTTGTCTGTAGGTTTTATGAACATTGAATTAAGATCAGAATTTTTAAAGTATTTATTAAAGTCAGTATTGGATGGGTGGATCTTATTCTGTAAATCTTCCGGAACTGAGGCAAAGAATGAATTAAAAGATTCCGAAATTTTAATGGGGTCGTAATCATGGAGTTGGTAGAAGATAAGCATGAAGGAGATGACTTAACTCTCGAACTAATGTTTAAAAGGTTATTAATTCCATTCCATTTAAATTTCAAATTTTTT